AGGGAAGGAGGAGGAGGAGGAGGAGGAGGAGGAGGATGAGAGACAGAAGTGGAAGAGGTATATTCGCCTTCGAGTACTCCCGAGCCGAGAGGGGCGAGAAAAGCCGACCTCGTGGTTTGAATCCCTCCGGGGTCGAGCCATGCCAGCCCCGAGTGTTGTCCGGACGCCGGACGGGCTGGACGGGATTTCGGCTGTGTTAGGCTGAGGTAGGCCCAGGGCTGGATGAATCGTCCGACGCCGCTTTTAAGTGCCCTCATGGCCGGGGCGGTGGCTGGGTGGGGCTCGGAGTTGTAGATCTCGCCGCCGGATGGCAGCAACACTGGAAAGTGGCTATTCAAATGTGCGACTGCCTGTGCTGCCGAGCCCGAGTGGTCGGTGAGTCCGGGTGGCCGATCTTCTGCTCGAGACTTATACCCGGTCAGGTACCGGGATGCCGCCGACAGAGGATACTCCTCCTCCTCCACCTCCTCGCCCTCCTCGCCCTCCTCCTCCTCCTCGTCGTCGTCCTCCTCTTCTTCCTCCTCAACCTCGCCCTCGTCCTCTTCCGCGGCATTTCCTCCACCACAGCCGAGACCGATGCCCATACCCGAGCCGGACGGATGGCTGCTGGACACGGCGGACAAGCTCAAGCGGTGCCGTCGGTAGACGACGAGCAGCAGAGCGGAGATGAGCATGAGAAGAAGCAGGATGAGCAAGGTGACCACTGCGATCTGGGTAGTCGTCAGGCAGACGGCAAACGGACAGATGGGCCAGTGCCGGCTGGATGATGAGACTGTCGAGCTGCCGCCATCATTGACGCCAAAAGCACTGCCGGATCCAGTTTTGCCGGCCCCTTCAACAAATGAAAGTAGAGAGTGGAACCTTAAGTGCTACCTCAAACCAAAAGCGCCGTATGAGAGTGATTCGGACAATGGTTTGTCAACCATTTGGGGCACCAAACTTTCCAAATGTCTACCGAGTCGATCACACATTATCATCCCGGGCAAGGCTTTGAGGGTGTGTTGCCATACAGACCGGATGCCCATCACTTGCATGTTCAAACAGTTTAGAATGATTCATGAAAATAACAGAACAGTGAAGTGAACAGATGCCTAGGTAGCAAGAAGAAATTGTATCAAACAGATTAATTAGAACATTACGACACGGAAATTAGGAAGCATAGGAGGAAACCTTGGAAACCAAACGTTTGGTTCAACAGTAATTTTTTAAAAGTTGGAGTTTGATCCGAATAAATCGAACTTCTTGAATAAGTTTGTAACTATGGTATCGAGACCACCAGTAAATTATATATATGAAATGAGTTAAACCTATTTCGTTTCGTTGATAGTTGAATTTTCCATTTAATTTTCCATAGTCTTGCTATCCCAAAAGGTATTCTCATCCAGGGTGGACTGCAGCTTCGACCTCGCCCAGGCCTCATCAGCAGCCCCAGCGAGACTCGAACCATGTTAATGCAGCGTATACTCTAGAAACGTTAACTACTACGCCACATGGCCACAAATGACCTTGAGTAAGAGGACAAATGTGAATTTCAAGGTCTAGGAATTTTCCCATATTGTCGATTAAACCATGGCAATCGACCACACTACTTATTTTTCGCTTGTAAGTAGGTTTTCGAGACTATCACTAAATCATGTATCTTTAATAGTCGATTGATATAGCAAATATAACTTTACCTTATCTACAATCCTACCACAGAATGTAGGAAAATGCCTGGCTTTCTTTGAAATTCACATATTCCCTGTGATTTAGGGGCACTTGGGTTCGAGATTATACGCT